ACCCAGACATAACAAATCCATCAGTATTCAGAGTGGACACCCGCAAATTTGCGATAGACTGCTCCACCTTGGCTTCACAATCCAGCGGGGTCTTTGAAGCCAAACAGAAGCGTATCAGCAACACCGACGCGATTGGATCAATCCGGCCACAAACGCTTACCCTATTTGGCGTGAGAATCGTCACAACGTCTATTGTGACTTGCCTCGTGTTAAAATGACCTCCCATGCTGTGCTCGCCTTGTGCCCTTTTGGGTCATCTTCTTGCCTGTCCGTCTTCGCACGCCTCTCCGCGAGTGATGGCGGGCCTATCCGTATCAAAATTTATTTTCAGTCAGTCGCGAACTCAGCGATGCTGCTTCGTTTGAGATGGGGATATCACGCCTAGCGTCAGACGATGGCTTCGACCAACCTAGCCAATCCTGCAGAGGAGCATATCGCAGTGGCAGAGTTCCCAGTCAGCATGTCCATGCGTGCGCGGTGACCGGCTTTGCTTCCAATGTGATATCCTACCATAGTGTTCCCGTTTGGTGACCACAAGGCTGTCCATGGGGTCTGGGCACGATTTGAGCGCCAGGTTGCTAGGCATACGCCAGCAGGGAGGTTCCCGCAGTCATCTGAGAGTCCGGGCACGTCCTGAGCTCACCCTGCTCGTCGAAGCAACTCGCCATGCTCTTGAGACCGCAGAGCTGGGACGTCTTCTACGATCCAACGCGAAGACGGTTAGAAAAATCAGTAGCGGCTTGAAAAATCGCGAATCGTTACCCAGCGTACCGAGGAGGGCATCTCTGCGACACGACCTGATCGATGGTTGTATGCATCGTCTGGCTGCCTTCGCACAGCACATCCTGGACCATTGCATCTCGGGATAGAGCAATGTGCTCTAGATCTGCCCAACGGGCTACCTGCTAAGCAGGCCCTGTTTGTCTTGATCAGAGATGTGCTCAGTGCTGCCAAGGATACTTGCCTGATCTACCGCACTTCCTGCTTCATCAACTCTGCTGCATAGGCAATTCGACATCAGGAATCAGAAGAAATACTGTACCGTCTCGGTCTGCATGTGCACGGGTATCATCGGGTATGATATCGCTAGGTGAGTCGTACTATCGCCTTCATCGCTGCGAGATGCTTGTCGTTCCTTTCGAGTCCAACGCCTCGCAGATTCTGCGTGGCGGCCATTCTCAATTCCACAGCCACGCCTCTAGGCTCAGCCACTGATGTGGCGCTGCGCAGCGATTTGGCCTTGTTGTCCAAAGGCCTCTATCTCACTGCCTTATATAGCCGCCGATTCACCGCCATGTGACGTCACCGCCCATTCTTCGCGCTCAATGCCATATCTCAAACGTCGAACCTCAGCATCGATATCATACCACTAATGATTGCAAGAACAGTGCACAGCCATCAAACCCTCAGCTCTCAAATCTCACCCAGCCAATCCTCGACCTCACCCCACACCTTCGCCCGCACCCGCTCATCCCACCACCCCATCATCAGCACGTCGTGCACCCCGTCCTCCACCCAGATCGTCCGCACATCCACCCCATCGCGCTCCATTCCGCCTACAAGCTTCATCACCTCCCGCTCCAGCCGCTCCGCATCCCCCAGCACAATGCACGCACGCGAGAACTCGCTGAACAGGCTCAGCCCTCGTGGCGACGATATCTGCGGCCGCGCCAGGCTCGTGGGGCTCGGCTTCAGCCCGTTCACCTCGCCATTCGTAGACGGCTCGAATGGTGTCTCGGGCTCAATGGCGGGCGTCCCAGGCACCGATGTCATCTCCCGCAGGCGCTTCCGCGCTGCCGTGTCCATCTGCTTGATCGTCAGGTCCTGCACGCTGTGTGCGAACGCATCGCCATAGTATGCACGCAGCACGCGCATCGACGCCGGGCTGACGTATGGGCTGTGCATCGTCTCCAGCGGATTATGCCCGAGGAATGTCCGCTGGAGCAATGCCCGAGGCTCGGGCGTGTCGACGAGGTAGTCTGTGCTCCCGTGCGGCCGCGGGATGTAGGACGACGGAGACTCTGGGAATGCATGTGCTGCACGCGCTGTCAGCTAGGGGTCCGTCCCTTTCGACTGCAGAATGCGTACATGGATCGCAGGACGGAGAGAGCAGAAGAAGCCCGTCCGGAGGGGGCAGCACGCCCTCGTCTCTGATCCACCGCGCTAGCGCGAGCACCAAGTTCCCACCCGCGCTGTCGCCTATTAAAACGACCTTGCTCTGCGTCGCACGCGCGACCCGCTGCTTGATTGCTTCACTGCTTCCCTCATGTCCGGCTTCATCCGGCTTGTAGATTGTGGGCAGCTGGTCCGTCTCCGGTGCCGTTCCACTTGATGTACTGTGTGGGATCTGGGAGCTGTCCGAGTCCGGCGTTGCATCCGTCGGCGGGCGCTGATGCTGGCGAACAATGTGCGCATACACTGCCGCTGCGTCTTGCACGGCGGCAGGGAATGGTGCGTGTTGCAGGAGGCGATACTCCACAGCTATGAGCGACCTGGCGTTAGCATCCACGAGTCGTACGCACCGGTGGACAGGACGCACCGTATATCTGATCGAACGCTTTGTCCTACATCAAGGGAGTCGTTCGTCAGAGGGATTGTAGCTCATTGCCGCAAGAGAAGCACCTTGGTTAGCTGACGGGGTATCTTGGACGTCGACGAGCTCTCGTGCGCTGACATGTGGCAGTAGCCCCCGCCGTGCAGAAAAATGCCGATAAGGGGTTTGTTACCGGCGCGCGCCTCTACATCGGACGGAGACGTTAGCGCAATGCCAGACTCCTTGCGCTGTATGCTGCCTAGGTACAAGAATACGTTCAAATTTGTTCGGCACTGGTTAAGACACAAAGCAGCCCGATTCACACATATACCAGCAGAACCGACCACGCTGCTGATTTGTCGAATGCCAATTCCAAGCCAGCCACATTCTCTCTGAGCCTCACCAAGCGCATGGAAGCAATGACCATAGGAGAAGCGCAAACGCATTTAAGGCGTCTTCTCTACGATTGCAACCTCATCGCGAAGTGGACAGCACTGTTATCTCCGCGTGCGATCCTACGCGGGAAAGCAATATCTTTAGTCAAACGGTAACGTACGGGATATGGGGCATACTTTTGGAGGAGCCTAGCCATAGCGGCAGGAGAAGCAATCGGTGCACCGCATACTATAATGGGTGCAAAGGCCGCTGTGACTTGTCGGCATGGCTCATTTATAAGAGTCTTTCCCGGTCCGCGGACCAAGCCATCACCAGACTTCAAACAAGAACCACGCGTGCACGGAACAAGAAAGGAGTATTCGCGCTTGGACCTCGGGCAATTACGAGTGAAGAGATCCGGTCCCGCTCTGAGGTATAAGGCTCCGTGGCCTTGACCTCGCGATGTCCGCACCGCGTCAGACCAAGGCGTTCTTCCCGGAACGTCTGAATCGTAGAAAAATATGGCACTAGGCATTCTCATTGAGGACTGGCACAATTTGGCCGGCGTGACAAGGACGCGCCGTGAGGGATGCCAGTCGATAGTCGGGTGCAATCTCCGGTCACAATAATACCCTGCTATTTTGCCGCATTATGAGAAATCGAGGTGTCAACTCAGAGCGACGAAACGTCCAAGGAGCAACTCATGTAGAAGAGTCGTGGCAATCAACACACCTTCAGATCCATACTTTGGCCAAAGGAAGACACCCACCCGCTTGAGCGGCACTTGTCTGTCCGCCACAATGCCAGTGCGCAGACGCTCCGGCAGCGGGTCCACCCACTCGAACCGAGTCTCCTTGAGCGCACGGTTATCACACGCCTCCTCCGGGCGCGTGCCCCAGGTGACGCCCGCGCGCTCCGTAACCTTGTATATGCGGATGAAATTGACGGCGACGATCTACTTTATGGACCAAGAGCGGCGGGGCCGGGACCTTCGCGGCAGGACGGCGTATAAGAGGACCCAGAAGGGCACCATGAGCGTCGTAACCATGCGGTGGACGACATAGATGGCCTTGAGAGGCTGCCGCGCGAACGGCATAGACTGCTGGTATCTGAAATCTTCGCGAGACACGTTGGAGGAGGAGGAGAGGGAATATTCATGAGTGCGGAAGGGGCCAACTGGTAACTCGGATCGCCCCGCGTGACGTCACCACATGCATCGCGGTCACGCGTCCGTGAGTTCAGAACGCGATCGCACATCGCACAGCGATCGGAAGGCGACGCGCTCGGCGAACGCAGTGGCCGCCTGTGCGGGAAAGGTCGACTTGTCTGGAAGGACAACATCACCAAAACCGTTCATGAGCTGGAGGATGCGCTCCTGCCGCTCTATTGTGTTTTGAAAAACATTCCATCTACAGCGGCACAACACGACAGCACGAGGAGACAAGAATACGGAAGCACAGCACGAGAACGTAAGGAGACGACAACACACAGGTAAAACACAACGCTCGAGAAGTCCGTGCCCAATTCCGCCGCGGTCACAGCCTCTGCGACGGCCTCGAACCTTTGGGCCCAGATGCTACTGGCAACTCGATATTCACTCGGGCCTCGTACGCTCACTTCTGCAAGTTCATCAACTTTTGGACCCGCACATAGTTCTTTTTGTACGTGCGTTGCCTATTTTGGAGACATCTCGAGACGCAGGTTTGAAGCTCCTCGAACGCGTCGTACACTACATTCTCTTTGGCTTTGAGGCAGTCCAATTCATGGGTGAGGATCTTGACGTGCGCAATCGCACGTCGTGCGGCCGAAGCGACGAGGGGCGAGTCGTCCGATCCTTGCCCTTCCACGTCGGCGTCGGCGTCGTGACCAGGTTCGCCGTCAGACTCCTCCTCATTTTCGTCTTCGTCATTGAGATCACGGTCGGTAGCGGTGGCGGCGGCATTGACGGTGGCATCTGCGGTCGTGTCTTGCACATTGTCCGTCTCACCTCCACCGTCTCCCTCAATCGTTCCAAGGATGTTCATCTTCACGTCAACGAACTCCGCTAACGCGCCTTCGAAACTGTTGCCGCCCTGGCCCTCAGTCTCGTCGACAGACAGCCTTCTCACCTCCGGAATGAATCCGTCTGAGGTTACCTATCGCCATGCCATCAGTCTGTCTTCTCCTCAAAGACCAATGACTGTCGAGGACATGTACTCACCCTCGACGGCCCGCGTCCCTTCTTCCGTTGCGGACGCCCATCGGACTTGCTGCCTCCGCTAGCACCAGAGTCGCAGCGAGCACGTTTGGACGGCCCGGCATTGTCCTTACTTCGGGGCACTCCACACCTCACTATCACGAACTTGTCGAAAACGAAGGGCAGCGCCGCCCTCAACGGCGCCTTTCCCTTGCCGTCTTGACTGGCTGATGCACGGAGACGCGCTTACATCGCCCGATGTCAGAGTTGTGTCGCATGAGAGCGGGATTCCCGTCAACTTACCCTCCATCTGGTCCAGCCGGTTCTGGAGCATGTCGTGCAGCACACAACAGTTTGGATCGTCCTTGATGCGATCCCGCTCGAGCACCTCCTGTTTCAAAACATTGTCAGTGTCAGGTACCACGAGATGTAAAACTCACCTTGTACGCTCGAAGCAGCTCGCAGTATTCTCCCGAAGTCCCTCCGTTCCCCTCCAAACTGCGAATCGTGTCCTTCATTTCCATAAAAATTCTCGCAACATAGGGCAGCCGAAGGTTTCCATTGGCGTAATAGGACGAATCGTCGCTGATGACATCCTCCAAGACCTGCAAGGTCATGGTGGTTCGTCGCAGAGTAGGACCATCCGAAAGAGCGAGAATCAAGCGACCTATAAATCAGTACGATAAACGACAGGGATCTCGTCTCCAAGCGACAAAGAAGCAGTCTTTGTCGCACTTGCATAATCCGCCATCCCGATTGGCTGGTGTCGCCTACTCGCTGTGACTCGCATCCCCTTCGACGCTTCGCGTGACGTCATCTCCTGCATCTCGGTCCCGCACGCGTAAGTCGAGCACACGGTGACCGTCGGTCTCTGGTCGGGCTGCTATCCCGTCCGTCTTGTCCACCATGTCCTCTGCCCTCCCACTCTGCCGCCGCGCCCTTCTCCGACGTCTCATGTCCACCTCGCCGCGCCGTGCCACAGACTCCTGGCTTCTCCCGAACATCCCCGAGCACCTTGCAAAGACGACCACTCCCGCCGATGCGCCTCCTCCGCCTGCACCCCTTCCTCGTCCGGGCGAGAGTGTAGAGACCATGCGCGCCATGTACCAGTCGCGCAGGCGGGGCACCCTCGAGAGCGATCTGCTGCTCAGCACGTTCGCAAAGGAGCAGCTCTACACAATGAATGAGGCGGAGTTGACGGAGTTGGACATTCTTGCGGGCTTCTGTGGCGCTCCTTACAATTACGTGCTCAGTCATTCCGGACTATGTGCACATGCACGGTGAATACCTCATCCCTTATAGCTCGTAACTGCAATGAGCGCGTGAACATTGGCGAGACCTACAACCTGTGAGTTGCCTACATTCTGATGTGCGTGAGGGTTGCGCTATCGAGCTCATTTGTATCACTTTGCAACATCAGCTCGTGTTGTAGGAGCACATCTTGAGCTTTGCTCTTGATGAAGAATGAAGAAATTTACGTAGTGAGCACGGAGAAGGTCTCGCAAGGCGAATGTGACTTGCCGTCTGTTCGCTGTTGCGGATAATCAACAAACACTCGCACGTTCTGGATCCTTCGTTGTCCTCGGCTCGCACATATAATGCGAGACCTCATTCGACCGTCCTTGGTCTCCAATACCCCGTGGTTCCATGGCCACGCCTTTGAACAGAGGGTACGGAGTGACAGGTTACTCTGATCATAGTCAGTGTCGACATTGACTATGTCGTATTGGACGAAAGCTCGCAAAGTCTCCACCGGCCACGATGATGGATGATGGATACGCCACATCGGCGGTGGCTGAGGCGATTTCATGATCACTCGGAGATCCCCACTTATCGATCCTACTCCGCGATACTCCCGATGGATCTTGCAAGCGCGTTCTATCGCGTAAAGGTAAATCCGACGTGGAGAGGTGGGTCGTACATCCCACTCAACTCAAGCAAATTCCGCCTTGACGTTCATGTCGTATTTGTCAAGATTCACGAGATATTGCAGCGAGAGATGCATTCCAGCGAGCGAAAAAAGATAGGCGCGACCACCTCCAGCAACTGTTCTCTCCGGCCGATGATCCGAGATGCCGCCGCCACAGCACAATGTAGCCACCGACTTACGCAGATTTTACCATCTGGCATACTGTTCATTTTACTCATTCATACTCATTTTCTGTAGACCTTATGATTCTCCTGTGACTCTAATGAGCTGCAGCTGCCATGTTCCGTCAATACAAAAGAAAGATGTTGTGCTAATTCGCGGTTGCGGTTACTCCATAACAAGCGAGATTCCCACGCCTCACTTTGAGCCGTGACGTCATGCAAGCCATACGGCTTTCTAGGGATCTCTCGCTGAAAGGCTGCTGTACATCTTGTAAACGCATGTGATGTAACTGCTGGCTGCAGTGCAGAATTATTGGACTCTAGAAGTGCTCTTGAGCAACATGATTGATCTTACAAGAATGTATGTATTGATTCCCTCTATATGGGCATTCCGGTTCTGGGATGGACAGGCAGCTCTACAACAAAGTATAGTACAGTGGCCAGCAAAGTATGTACAAATCGATGTGTTCTAGTATGTCACCTCTGTTTCCCAAACATGGTCAAACCTGCTGTGGCTGCCGGCCTGTAGATCTGTGGCTGCTGTGGCTACGGCATCTCGGATCATCGGCCGGAGAGAACAGTTGCTGGAGGTGGTCGCGCCTATCGTTTTTTCGCCCGCTGTCACATATGCCGTGCTGTGGATTTCACGGATCGAGTCCCGTCAGATGTGCTCAAATATGCCGATATGTGAACTGTTTGAACACAGAATGATAAATGTGAGGACCCATCAGGCAGGCGTCTCTTCCACCTGCGTATCAAGTGATCTCGCCAGCACAAAAAGGATAGGAATGCGATTTTGTCGTGCTGCTGATGTTTCACCGTGGACCTAGGCACGTAACGGACTAACGGTGGTAAAGTCGCCGCAATTGTCCACGCGGGACTGGATCATCTCACGTCTTGATCTGCTGTGAGTACAGTATTGTATTGGACCAGATTACGCTGAGAGGCCTTGAGCTCAGACTAGACATCCATCATGCCGTGGTGATCCAAAGTCTGGCTACACACACTATGATGATAAGCAGCTGTGCCTTGAGGCAATGGGCGTCATGTCCCGCATGGCATTAGGTGCACTTCTGCGACGGCGATCCCCATACACGCGACAGCTGATGTCAGATGATGGCGGGCGGAGAGCGAGGCATCCCGTCTCGGCGACGCTCACACATTTGCCAGCGGACGGACACCGGTCAAATGAGGAATCAAGGCAGATCGTCTAGCCCTCCCGTCTCTAGACTCGTCGATGGCCCTCCTCACGGTACGGAAAGAGTCATCCGAGTCTGGCCGGGCATGGGACCTGCATGGTCTGCCTCCGCTTATCATGCTGTTGCCAGCTTGTAACGATGACGGCACATTGGATTGTACCAAATTCGTCGTAGTCGCTCCGCTCTGCTATGCGCTGTTGGCACCTCATGTACATACGCGTGATCAGCCCTGGCAGAATAATTACAATCATGTCGTTGGCGACCTGCCGTTGCACAACATGACAGAACGCGCAAAGTCCTGTGTATTCATTTGGAACATCTCGCCATGTGGGATCGCTGATGACTTCATCCTTGAATTACGATTGGTACGACAACAACAACAACAGCAGCAGGCTCTGATATATGCGACCGTTATAGATACATAGCGGACCGTCCGATTCAACACATACAATAAGAATAAATTATCAAAACCAATATCCATCGACGTATCAAGCGTCTTTCGGCATAAAGTAGCGAGAGGCATCGAAGCCCCGCAGAGTCTCCGTGGGGAGCAGCGTGCTGACCATGAAGTCCTTGCAAGCGCTCATTGTCACGCCTTCATAATGGCGTTTGAATGCGTCCTTGCGATTGAACCTCCAGTCGCATGCTGGGCATCGATACTCCTTGTTGCCGTGCACAGTGGCGAGATGCCTTATCGCCTCGTTTCGCTTCTTGTAGGTACGATGGCATTTGGGGCAAGCCCACCGGTTTCCCTAGGATCACATATCGTCAGAAACATTGGCATAAACACAGTGAGACGAACTCACCACGCGGTAGACCCCTAGGGTGTTGCCTGACGGATGAGGCTCGGCGGTCTCCTCGACCGAGCCAACGACGTCGTCCTGGAGCGGCGGCGTCACGATTGTATCCGAGGAGCTGGTCTCCTCGGACTGGTGTCCGTGCGCGCTTCCGCTGCCGGCGGAGGACTCGCCATCATCCGAATTCGAATCCGAATCCGAATAGTCGTAGTCGTAGTCGTAGGCGTCGTAGTCGTCTTCATTGTCGTCGCTGTCGTTGTCGCTGTGGTGGTGGTGGTGGTGGTGCTGCTGCTGGTGGTCGTCCTCATCCTCGTCCGACCAGTATCCCTCGACGAAGGGATCATCTTGAAGCGGCCCTTCTGGAACATCCAGCCAGTCTCCTTCGGGGACTGGCTCCAGGAGTCCCGGATTGTTGGTGCCGAGAACCGTGGCATCGTGGTCATGGATGGACGCCATGTCCAGCAGCAGCACAGAATATCGATCTTGCATTTGATCGACGCGCTTCAATGACTTCACCCTGGTCTCGTCGCCGTCGTCATCGTCACAGAAGTCGCCCCGCTTTCGCTTCGGCGGATACGCATACGATCCGACTTGAGGGAGCACGGGAGCGTCCGACGGATTGGTGGACATCACGTCATCGGCTCGTCGCGAGTATATCAAGGTGGAAGAAGAGCGCCGGGGAGAAGGGCGATGGGGAGGGGGGGAGGGCTGGCAGGTAGGTGGTTAAGTGATTAGGTGTACAGGGGGGCGGGTGGCCTGAGTAGACGAGTAGGCGGGGGAGGAGGGCGCGAGTGGGCAGGTCTCGTATCCTGAAGGCACCGTCGATCTGAAGCCTGAAGGGACCGCCAGCGTAGACCAGTCGCCGTATAAATACTGTAGTCCACCCTCGCTTCTTGGGGGCCCCACGCCCAACAACACCCAAGTCGTGACCTACCAAGACCGCACCATGCGGATTCCCGCCCATCAGTCGGGACGAGAAGTCATCCATGGACAAGGTGCAGCCCCAAGCGAGATCGACATCTTCAGATCTTCATCCGCGACCGTTCGTCCGTCTCGTCCATCTCGTCATCTGATCTCCCGGACCTCGGGGACATTGCCACTCCATGCCGCAATTGGGAACCAGCCCTGGACCCTTGCCCGCCGCCATCTCCTCCTAGTCATCCTCGCGCCTCCCGCCTGCCAAGGCCGTTGCTAGCTTGGTAAGTATCGTGTTCACATGCCCGCCGTAGCGGCACACCCGGTACGAGACCCAGAACGCGCAGGACAGACTGCCCAGTCCGCCGAACGCCACTCACAAAGCGCCCATCTTCTCCGCCCACCGGTCGACGCGTGGACGGACTTGGTTTCCGGAAGCCTCCTCAGTAGACCCACTGGCAATCAGATGCGCACGTCAGGATGCAGGGTCCTCCTTCTCTGTCTCTCCACGTCAGTGTGCTTCGGGGCGCCCC